TGCTTTATCTTCGCTATAGTCCTTTGCCACCTATTTGACCAAATTAATTAATATAACCTAGTCCCTGATTTATTTTTATCCATTCAGAATTTACCTTATCAAATCGTATATTTTCCACAGTTAATTTTTCCATGGCTTCCATGATCTATGTTGAAACAACGAACTGGTTAGAAATTAGTTATCAGAATGTATATATTATCACCTCTGTATTAAATTACCTTGGAGTGTTTCTCACATAGAATATGTCTAACCTGTATTAATATATATTTTAATATATTTTCAGATATTGTATTTTAAATACATTTATATAATAAAGCATAAAGCTTACCTTTACACTGTTGGCCGCCTTTAGTTTCCCGGTCTTTCCGGACTTTGATTCCCCATCGTCTAAGAAAAAAAAAAAAAGCTTAATCGCTTAATTTTATATTGATAATTGATGAATTATTATATAAACCTACCATCGTCCGTAGTTTTTTTATTAGCTTTGCCTTTACCAGTATTTCCTGAACTATTTTTAGTCTTACCCATATCGATATCGATATATCAAAAATTCACGATGCCAACAACTATTGACGAAAAACCAAATGGTCAGATCCGTAGATCTATTACTTGTATTACGTAAATATACATACATCATGGTTACTAAAATGAATGCTGACTCCATCTTTTTTTTCTTATACGCATATTTTTCTCACCTCAAACTTTCCAATAATTAAAAAAAAAAAAAAAAAAAAATGCCAGTCAAAAGAAGCCTCAAACAAGACGAACCAAAAACGTATGAAACACCAGATAGCGTACCAATAAAGAGAAATAAACAAGACGTGAATTGGGAGGTTGAGTTTTTCTTTCAGTTATTACCTTTCACTTTACCGGAACCCGACGCCTCCCATAAAATCATGGTTTTGAAAGATTTAAAAGAGGAAAAAACTAAACTACCCGAACCTGACGCAACATACTTTGTTGACCCTTACGATAGCGTTTATGAAGCGGACGTCTCCTCCGTGTCTTCAGACGAAGATTCAGAATCTTTAGGCGGTGAACGTTTGGACTATGAAAGTGCGGAAGAGAGTGATTATGAAGAAATTACTCCGAAGAAGAAACGTTGCGGAGCTATGTGGAGTTCTCAATGCCGTCGTGCAGGTCGTTGTATCTGCGTGGACGAAACTTTGGATTATAACGATTAAAAAGAGAGAACCGGTGAAATTATGAAACTGGTTATATACTTTAGCTATTGTTTGACATTTTATGTCCGTAACGAACGAAGGCAGTTAATACGTGCCTTTAAATTACTGGGTGACAATTGAAGATAAGGGAAGTCGAGACGTCAACAAACAACAGAGTTCAATAGAGACATTATAGTCACGTTTTGGCGCTAATAAGTAAAGAAATCGAATTATCTACTTATCGTTACCTATACATACCAGATGTATCGGGTTTATCGAAGAAGCATCCAAATTGACTCTTTGATGAACAAATGACATAAGTAGTTCGGAGTGTTGGATAAATTGACATTTACATCTTTTACTTTATTGTCTCTTTTTTTTTTATTTTTGGAATCAGTGGACTAAAGGTCTTATTTTTTGTACAATAGCGAATTTATTTAAAGGTTTCTTTTTTCATCTGTCTCAAAACCAACTTGGTATTAACGTGAATGCTCTCGGCCACTTAAAGTGCATTAAAATGAATGTGCCCTGTGACTAAAGCATTGCGGATAAATTCATTATAATTTTATATTGTTTTTAAATGTAAGTTCATAATTTATATCATTAGATGCTTTTTTTTTTTGATCAAATATCAGTCACGGTGTTTGTTTGTAGTATAATACGGCGGTCCATATTCTATTTGAGTTCCAACATATTCTTTCCCACGGCTTATTTGTGTACTGTTGAATGTATGAATATTGCCAATAAGAAAATAATACCTCTGATGATTGATGATAAATAACTTTACCTGTCCAACTTGCAACTTAATTTTAGTTTCTTATCGCTAGTTATTTAAATACCACAAAGCTTTGAAAGTTGTGGTAATGAGAGGTAAGAAACTATGGTAAGTTGTGAATTATTAGTTTTGATTTAAAAATAGTAGTACTGGCCCATCCATCCATTACAATAAACAAAATCGAGTTATATGCACTAATTTAACATTAGTATTGACTGTGATTCGAACGCGATTTACAAAAATATAATACTTGTTGCAAATATGATCGATGTCGGAGGTCTTGTTAACAAAGCTTATGACGATCGATGATATCTACCTCGAGGAAAATAAATAATTCTTGGCAAATTTTGTATAAGAAAAATATCCAACTCATGCCCCTCACTTTGCTACTGCAGAATCTCTTTGGAGTGTTTTGATTTGGATCACTAAATACTGCTCGTTTGTAGAAGATGGATAAAGTCGCGTACACAGAAGTTATCTTTTTGATACACAAGTACCCTAAATATATGATGTCGAGAATAATGTAATCTGACCGATTTGTCAGTTTAATAAGTTAACACATTTCTTTTCGTATAAATGACGCTGAAAAACTTGGGAAATCATGATTTGCTCTAAAATATGACGAGGAAACACGTGTTCGAATGTTAGTTCTCATTGCGGGGTCAATTATTTAGGTGTCATTCAAATGTCAATAATAAATCCTATTTTTTTCTTTGTCGATATATTTCATTAAATAATTCTGATATTCTCTATCAGAATATTTGAATGCTCTAAATGTTTAACATGGCTAGAAAATGATGAAATTTTGCTACTAATAAATCAAGTAACATATAATAATAATAACAATTTACTTTCTTAAGTTTCGAATCATTTATTAAAAAGATATATACTAGATAATTTGGTTTTAAATATAGGGAAATTCTATTTTCACCCGGGTTAAAGTCACCCGATATATAATTTTTATTATACTATATATATAATATAAATTTATATAATATCGTAAAATTCATCTACCCTAACCTCTAACCAACCAATCTATAGAATTTTTAGTTGGCTATAGTAGTTTGTATTATATAATATAATGGAAATTATATATCGGGTGACTTTAACCCGGGTGAAAATAGAATTTCCCTTAAATATATAGTGAATAAGTTCAAATATAAGGTAAATGTGGGTATTATGACGAATTGAACATATTACAAGGAAACAGAATTTTTTATTAAGCAAATCGAATTTAATCAACTAAGTAAGGTTATTCGAAATGCATCTTTTACTTATCCTCAAGTTTTGGTGCATTACGGATAACTTTTTATTAATGGCTTTGGCGAGCATAGCGGGCTTTCATTGTAATTGGCTGATTTTTGTAGATTATCCCGATCACCTAGGGTGAAAATTAGTATTAGGGATGTTAAACCGTTAAAAACTAGCTATATCAGTTACAAACTAGCAGTTAACTACATAACCCGATTTTAACTAGTTACATGAAACTGTTTATAAAGTTCACATAAACAGTTTATTGAAACTAGTTAATTGGAATTATCGATTAACCAGTATGGATTTTGCAATCTACTAATTTGAACTGTTAATCGTACAGACTATTAAAATATCCTCCTAATCTATTTATTATAAAATCCCGCTTTTTTTCTCGTTGATTGTCAAAACACTTGCAATGTTTATTAGATCTGCTTGCCTCGAAAATTTATTTTTACTTTTTACTGGATTAATCGATACTTTTTAAAGATTCGTGTATTATATTTACCGAATCGCTAATCTATTTATCTAATCCGATTCCGATTACCATTATCATTTACTGGAGTAACGCCCACCCATCCACCCTAGCGAATTCACACTCTATATATACTGTTATGCCTGAAAACTACCTCTTATGAGTTCAGTATAACGTATCTACTTTAGCAACGTATATCTATTAATTAGCACTACTAACGTTTATGCTTAAGTAAATATAGGTTTTAGTGCAATTACGCTTTAAGAGGATTCAAGTGATTTGCAGTTATGAAAGAGGCAAACGGCTAAATATATATGAAGATATAAGTAGTCGTATTAGGGTATTCAATAAGTCTAAATATATCTATCGCAAACTCTCTTTACGATAGTCACGTGTTCAGGATCGTTAACTCACTTAACGATTAACTTGGGTTTTAATTGTGTATGAAGACACAATCGGGTTTATATCATGTATGAAGACACGATAGGGTTTTATCTTGTGTATGAAGACACAAGTTATTTTATTAATAAATGAGTTGTTAACTATAAGTTGTGAACTAACGCTTCCCAGAGGGGAAAAGCTTGGTTATTTATACATGTCTATCAACTATACTAGATTTATTCTATAGGATAAATTATGCACAATCTAATATAATTAATACATACAATAAGACTAATAATAATGAGATAGTTAGTAGAATAGATAGAATGGATAGAATAGATAGAATAGATCGAAAGGGTAGAATGGATAGAATTGATAGAATTGGTAGAATCGATAGAATTCTTGATGCATGTGTTACATTGTCACGTATTTCATATATCATCACGTGAGATTAAGGATGGTAGCAGGGACATGGAAAAATTTCAATATCAATTTGTAAAATTGTTTTGATAATGACCAAATATTGTTTTTTATTTCGGTATAAAATTTTGACTAAAAAAAAATATTTAGTAATACATATAACGAGCCTAATTTCTATTTTTGTCTAATAGACATACTGTACCACAAAATTGATATGTTAAAGTCTATAATCAGCAAAAAATATTCGTAAAACTCACTTGCGCTGTTGTGGCATTTAAATTAATCTTAGCTTGTAGTTTATAATAAGTGCTTTGTAAAAAATTATACTAGTTGCAGTTATTTAGTATATTAATTAACATACGCTATGACATATTAGTAACGTATTGACATAACGTAAAGGATGGTGTGAAAAGGTAAAATATATTTAGAATATTCTAGATCATTATTTCTTTTTTTACACGAAGTTGCACAACAAACAAAGAATATGATTGGTAGATTAAAATAGCTAGCCAATGAGATTTGTTGTATAACATCACATGCATAAAAAAAAGGAAATATTGGTTTATAATGTGATATTCAGTAAAAATTGTGATTTATTGTTTTCTAATCTTTTCAAAATTTTTCTGTGTCCCTGGACGGTAGTGATTGACAAGTTTTAGGTCTAACAATAACTTTTAAAAAAAAAAAAAACCCCCCCGTAATAATCAAAATACACTTTTTTTGTTTTTTTCTAAATAAAATCTTTATTTTCTTTTTACATTAAAAAAAATAAAAAATAAAAAATTTGATCGCACATTTTCTTAATTTGAACATTTAATTTTTTTTTAAAAAAAAATTTTTATCATATTTTATCTAAAGAATTAGTATAATTTTTATAAATTATCTTTACAAAATTTATTATACTTTCGATTTCAATTAATAAGTAAAAAAGAATGTATTTACGAATTAATTATAATATTTATTCTAATATGATATGATGCCAGGTGAATTGCCTATTGGAAATAACAAAGAAAATAAATACCTACCCATATGTAATTTTGTGGTCTGCCCACAGTTATGTTAAATTTTAAACACTAATCGCTATATAGATTTTAAATAAATTGATTCTAAATCTATAGTCCCCATCACTTCGCTATCAGAATATCATAAAATTGATTAATAGATACACCAATATATGAATAATTAATAGAACCAATCAGAAATGATGAAAGAAATTAGTAAATTCTAAAAGGATCTTTCCAAATCAGATCTCTTCTAATAAGCAATACAAAATCTTCGGATCAGGTGTAATGTAAAAATCACAATTTTTAGATAACTGCTAATAACTCAAAATTTTATTTATGAAAAAACTACTTTTTGCTCACTAATAAAAAAATTCCTTACAAAATTTTGGTATAGAACATATTTTTCTTCGATCATTACCCTAATTACAACATAAGGTTTAGTGACTTTAAAAATATTCTGTATATTACAGTCAGACCACCCTAAATGCTTAAATACACGCTGTGTAAAAAACCTCTCTAAATGCATATTTTGAAATTTTTTACTATGACCCCGAGGGTGTACATTTAGAAAGGTCTAACTATAATTTGTTTGATTAGTGTATCTTGTCTGATTGCTGCATTTCTCATGGCCCTACTATTTGTATTACTCAAACAAAACAAATAAATATCCCCCTTAATGGTTTTTTGATTTACTTTTTTTTTTTTTTTAATTAAAAATTAAAAACTAAAAACATGTTTAAGATTTACTTTTTTTTCTTTTAAAAAAAAAATTAGAAATTAAACTTGTAATTCACATTAAAAATAAATGATAATTCTAATCAAAACCCGTGTAAAAACCCCAAAAATCTCAAATTTCATTATAATGCATTTGTAAACTGCTCAAAAAAAAAATTTTAGATCATTTTAATAAATTACTATATCTAATGAGAGCATCAGGTGTAGGAAGATGCATTAACCTATCAGTAAGATAAATTAAACGCATTATTGGTACAGATCAGGGATTCAAAAAATTTGTTGAAGTTTACTATTGATTTATTAATATATAATTTGGTATTTAAAATTTGTTTCGAGGACCAAATGCTTAGATTTGGTGACCAATTTTCTGCCTAATTCTGCAAAAACAGCTTAATGATACCCATATATGTATCGATAATTGAACCACAAGGTAGCAAGAGCATAACAAAGAGAGATTTAGTATTCTCACCAAATCAAGATTTCTATATTTCTATTTAATTATATCATGTATAAAAAAAAAATTTTTTATATATGATTAACCATTTTACCAAGACTGAATCCTATTTTTTTTTTTTGCCACATATTAAAATTTTTTTATTTATCTTTCCTGCAATGATCTTAATAACTATTAAAAATATTTTTTTCAAGAAAACAAAAATAATTACCATTTCTAAACTTTAGTTACCAGTTAAATCATATTTATATTTTTTTCAAATTTTCCCAAGCATCCTAATATTTTTTAAAATGAAATTATAAATTAATATCTTTTTATAGATGTTCTTGAGAAAAAAATTAGATATTCATAACACTTTAGTAACTACAACATGAATGACTATACCTTTTTTATTAGGAGAGTAAAAGTACGCATTATTAAATTTTTAGAAAAAAACTACAATTTCACAAAAAAAAAAAATTTTAAGTAAATAACGAATAAACTAAAAAAAAATTTAAAATAAATATAATAACCATCCCAAGAAACATCTTTTTTCATCTTTCGAATTTTACAAAAAAAAAAAAACTATGCCTGCTAAAGTATCAACTTTTTGTTACGTTTACGATTATTTAGATCGAATTACTTAAAACTTTTACTTAAGAGAAATAACAAGAATAGTAAAGTCAGAAAATAATGATCTAATCAAAATTTTGTTTTTAAAAGTAAAAGCCTTTATACCTGTCGATGAAAGTATCAAACACTTCATAGAACTGTTCAAAATTGGTGACATGATTTACATCTGAGGAAAATTTATTGTATTTGAAAATTACTATATAGTTTGTTAATTAAAGATCTCTTCTATCATAACTACCAAACTTATTTATGTAATTATTGTTTAAAGAATCAATATTACATATGTTTAATTATAGCCAGCTTTATATACCAGAACAGTATAATGTAATATATAATACATATGTCATAAGGTCATAACCTAATGGTAGTAAAAGCTTTATTTAATGCCTTAATTTCAACATGTCGTAAAAGTTTGAGCACAATACCCTAATTATAATAAATTATGATATTTTTGCTGTAATTCATTATATATACTGTAATTACAACTTACGACATTATTCTATATATACACTAACTAATTTTGGTAGTTATGCTTAGTTTTCTCAAACAAGAAAAACTAATCACTTTTATCCTACACTATATATATAAGGTTAATGCTACTTCAATTAAAATTACTGATCTTTAATTTGAAAATATACCTGCAATAGGTATAAGCATTGTAATTACTGGTCAAACAATACAAACTGTTAAAACTGTAGAAGACAATGCAGTTCTTAACTTCTATGTTAAAGAAAGACTTGATGAAAAGGATCTATCTGATTTTTGGGTCGAAGTTAGGCATAAGACAAACAATAATTACCTCGCAAATAGAACAAATATTATAAACCAAAAAATCTGCTCTACTACTGCTCTCCTCATTGGCACTATGAATTACCATCTCTCTATACCTAATTCTAGTGAAGAAAAACATGTCTTAATATTAAAAGATATCTCCTTACTCTCTACACATTTTAGTAATACAAATTCAAATACTCAACTCACCGTTTCTTGGTTATCTCAAGGAAGTACCTCCGCACGTAACAGAACAAATCGTACAGCTCATAAAGCTGTAATACGACCTTCACGAAGAGGCCAGACAATATTATCTTGGATGGGTCCAACAACACTATCTGCTAACTGCAATCTCCAAGCTGCTTTAGAAGCCAACTCTATACCAATTATGACTGAACAAACAGAAAATCACCAAGCTTAAAATCAAAATAGTCAAACTGATGATAGTACAGACTAACCTATCTAGCAAAACGTCTTCACTTCTTCTTTATTTTTTAAATAAATAAAATAATAATAATAATTAAAAAAAAATAAAAAAAAAGTAAAAATAAAAAAATAAAAAAAAATAAATAAATAAATAAAATAAAAAAAAGAATAAAATAAAAAAATAAAAAATTTAAAAATTTAATATAAAAAAACCCTATGAAATATATATATATATGTTTTTTTTCCCTTTTTCTATACCTTAATAGTAAAGATATTATCATCTTATATATAATTACAACTTAACATTTTAGTAGTTTTTTTTTTATTCTACAAATTCATAATTCTATTGCAATACTTTCATAAATTACAATATATTCAATACGTTCACTATTTTTTTCAATCTTTGAATAAACATATATCCTAGCCCAGGATCACTTAACTATCTGAGTTATAACTCAGAAATTGTGAAGTTTATATAATTTCGTATATAACTTGACTTCTCATATTTATTTACTTGTCTTAATAATAAATATTATTACTTTCAAAACTCCCTGTTAAATTCTTGTGACGTTATTCTTATTCTTCAAATTATCTACATTTAACTTATTTCATTCTATCATTTATTTAAAATCATTGTACAATGAGAAAATACGATTAACAGATTTACACTAAACCTTTTTTAGTATACTACAGATAAATTCCTATTTACTCTATCAAGTTTAAACATGATTTTAGTTGTTTACATTACACCTGATCTTAAATTTTATTCTTCAAAGTTGCAAAAAAAGAAAATTATTGTTTTTTAAAATAGCTATAATTTATTATAGCATGATGGAAATTTGTTTTGATTAGCCAAAGATTTGCATTTCCAATACTTTTATCAGATTTTGTAAAACAATTAATTTTTCATCTTATTACTTTGCTCACGTGAAGTTCAAACATCTATTCAAAGAAAATATAAAATTCATTAGTTATTACTCTTTAAAAATTAAAAAGTACATAATATTGTTAATGTACTATATTCTTGTAATATCAGAATCGCTTCTAATAAAAGTTGGTGGAACACTTGATCCTACTTGATCCCAAACTTTTATATGAAAATTAAACATCCAAAAAACTTTCAAACAAAATTTTAAAAAGCTATAATTATAATAATTTTAATATATCTACTCTAATTTGAAATTTTTTATTCTAAAATAATACAAAAAGTTCATGTAACAATATTTAGTTATATAAAATAAATATCCAAATAAATTTCTATCATCTATTTATTATAAAGTGCACTAAAGAAGTTGTATCTAATAATATAGAAGATTATACAAAAATTTTTAATGTCAAAAATGAATTATTGCAAAGAAAATTCTTTCAATAATCTCGATTTCCTGTCTCCACTATCATGGGTTAAAATAATATTTCATCCTAAATTAAGGGTAATTACTCACAAATCCTAAAAATAGAATGATTAAAACATTGTTTTACCAAACAAATTTGGAATCTTCTATAATAATATGAGGCTTATTAGCCAAATAGTGATAATCAACCAATGCAACAACCGAAAAACTAGTACACATAAACAAAATCTAAAAGATAAGAGGAACAAATGTGCTAATTTCTTGTATAATTCTTTCAAAAATTGACAGAATAATAAAAATTACCTTTAAAGCCGATTTCATTTTTTTAAACTATCAATATGATCTTACAGTGAAGTCTCTTTATTTAGACAAAATTAAACCTTTTAATGAGTTTACACTTTAAATTAAAGTGACTCATCATTTAAAATATCTTGAAATTCTTAGGATAATAATAATAAAAACACCTTTTAAGTCTATTTCATTCTCTTCAACTATCAATACAATCTTACTGTAAAGCCTCTTCATTTAAACTAAATTGAATCTTTTAATGAGTTTAAACTATAAGTTAAAATGACTCATCCTTTAAAGCTTCTCAAAATTCTTAGAATGCTAAAAGATATAAAAACCTATTAATTTCGCCTTTGTAAATAAAATAACAACTTTCGAATTAAATAAGTCTCTAATTAAATAAAAACTAACTCTAAATAAATTCTAACCAAATTTTGATAAATTACAAACCTTGTGCCTTTAACGAATATCTCTTTTTATCATTTTATTTAAGTCCTGTCAAATTATCCTGTAATACTACATGATTTTTAATACTTTTAATAATATCTTATCCTTAAAACTTTTATATCCATAATAAATTTCAAATTAGCTCATTAAAACCAACTTCCTCAAAATTATCAACTTTCAAGTTTACTGATTTTTAATTTATCTAAATTAAAAAAACTAAACAATAACGTATTAACTTCATAATATCTATATATTTGATACAAATATGAAACCTTACAAGATTGTCCATTCACCCTATTACTGATCCTCACGTTGCATCACATAATACTGACTTTCAAAATCAAAGTACTAATAATATATTTTGGAGACCTTTAACAAAATTCCAAAATTTATATAACAAATTCCAAAATAACATTCTAACTCAATGGCCTTGAATTGCTTATGTATATTGTGAAAGGTTTTTATATCTCAAGAAAGCTTCTTAGATAATTTATGACCCTTTGACTTCTTATTCTTTACAAGTTCATGTACCTAATATCAATTTATCTTTCAACCCTAATTGAGACTGTATTACCGAGTTAAGAGTCCCCACTTGTACTTCTTGTAATAAAATCTCTACAAGGTTCTCATTTCCTCACCTATCACCAATGCCAGATGAAATTACTTCAGTACCTTTGCACAAACAAAAATATCTATCACCCGTATACTTATATTGTTCTTTAGAAAGAAATCTAAATAGTAACCTTTACTCAGAATATAGAAGTTTGACTGGTACTATGAACTACTCACGTAATGTTAGAGCTCATGCATTATATTCTGAAATTCTAGATGCATTCTTAGAACCAAATAACAACAACATTAATAGTTCTGAGAATAGTTCTATTTACGATAAAACTTTACATCGTACTGCTATCTGGCTAGCCCAAAACAATCCTTACTTACGTTCATTAACTAACAATTTGTCAAATGAGAGAGAACCTATTAGTCTAATAATCCCTTTTCAAGAGCAAGACATACCGACTCTAATGTACTAGCCGTTAATCTGCACGATATAGTGATTCCGAATTATAACTTTCTAGATGAAGTCCATAATGAAGATTTTCACTATACTAGGTTAATAGCAGGTTTCGTTTAAGAAAGTGATAACTTATGTCTACCAATCTCTATATACGATCCAAACTTAAAATCTTTGTTATTTTCAGATTTATTCACAGATAGTAAAGGGCACTTTCATGATATATTAAATTAATCCCAATCAAATAATGAGATACATATCGAAATATATAGAAAATACATTAAACAAAGATTAATAAATATTGATTCTAGATAGAGGCTTCACCATTATTGGCCTTCATGATCCTACTTTTAATTAGAAAAACTAAGGTATCACCAAAATACACAATATTTATTACGGCAAAATAGCATCTATCCAGTTAATAATATTAATAATAAACCTCTTCTGTCAGGAAGAGATCTACTCTGTTCTAGTGCTTATATCTCACACAACATTCTTAATGAAAATATAACAATTCCTGTTTCATCTTTTGTATATACAGGTGATACTTACTTTCACCAAAAGCAACTCTATTTAAATATCATGTTATGAAAGTTCAGATTTTTTACTTTGTTTATAACTCTAAGCATAGCAAAAAGTAGATGGACTCACCTTCACGATATATTCTACAATAGTGATAATGGTAACACTTGGCCTACAAATAGACCATTCCAGTATGCAAATTATTTTGTTCACAGATTTCAGTCTTTAAAAAATGAACTCTATAAAAAACCAGATCTTACCAGATTTGGTGATATCGATAATTTTTTTAACAGAGTAGAAATTTAAAACAGAGGAGCCGCATATATACATAGTTGCTACTAGACAACTAATACTATTGAAACCATGATTTCAACCAATGTAATAAGATCAACTGTACCAGACCCTAAACATGAATCTGAACTCTACGCTGCTATTATAGCAAATCAAATATATACTTGTGATGCAAGATGCCAAGAACCAGCAATTCCAACATATAAAAAGGGTTTCTGCGTTCTTTTAGCGAAACAACTTATTACAAAGAAAGCAGCTCTTATTATACTTACAAATGCTTATCTCAAGCTGACTTCTGGGTCATCCCCTATCATGCTCCAACCCTCTTACTCTGGAATGCGCATATGAATACGCAATATATAACTAATAGAGGATTCGCATGATACGTAACAAAATATATCACAAAGACTGAACTATTACATATATTCAACATATATAAAAATAACCTACTTAGAGAACATGTTATTGTACGATGACTTAGTTCAATGGAACTAATATACCTGCTTCTAGGTCATCAAATATATAGCTCTTCTGCTACTGTAAAATTTCTTACAACCGAACCTCCTCCCACAAGATCCTGTGCAGTACTTTCTGCTTTTATGATAGATGAGGATGATGAAAATCTATATTACGATAACACAATTACAAAGTACATATCTCGTCCTTATGACCCAGAATTTGAGAATCTCACTTACCTTCAATATTTCAAAAAATACTCAATCACACCCTCACAACTAGCACAAACCCCATGTCAAGTTTACCGTGATGATTTATCTAATTATATTGTAAAAAGAACTAAAGAAACGTTAACTAGATATTGATTTCTTAGTATTGAAGATGGAGATCTATATTTTTACCAACAATTACCGTTACAATTTTCAGCAAGAAATAAATCAGACTACAAACTTAGCCCAAATAGAACATATTGAGATAAAATTTATCTCTTTTTCCTAACTTTTTAACAAATCTATAAAACCAGACAATGATCATATAGCATTCCCGGCTAACATATTTAAATAGTCAATTTATTCAAATACTAGATAGATTATTCTAATCATTAAATAAACAACTCCCAAACAATCTTCAATGCATAATACAATTTCAGATAGACGATCTAAAAATTTTTTCTCAAATATACTTGTCAGTAACGATGTTAGAATTATCTAATAACCAATATCAGCACTAACAACTATTTCTACGTAGATGGGTCAAGCCGATGGTACTAAATGGCCATATTACTTCATAACTAGCTTTGCTAGAACAGGAAAATCTTATATAATCAACATGATAACAAATATGC